ACTTCATTTTAAAGCTTGTCTCATATTCCATCGGCCCTTTCTGGTTTATTTTTTATTTAATATCATCGACATGTCACTGAAACAGATTATGATGCCTTCTCTGGCCGCAAGACGAAGAACCCCAATGAGAGTATGTAAGGAATGCTAGGAAAATTTCCTACCATTTCGCTGCGGTACTTACAGTAGAAGCCCCGTGCGTCTCGTCATGCTACAGTTATTCAAACTATCTACTTGATACTTGTCACAAACAATGAGTCTATGCAAGAATACTGTCCTTATAGATGTTGTCACCTATTTTATATCTTCGCTGGCTGTGTCAGCTTGAGCGCTATTGCGCATGTTCGGATAGTTGTTCTCTTTTTGAAATTTTGCAGGACCTTAGGTCCAGAGATTTATGGTTTGGTTTTAACCTTCATTTCAGTGCGTTTTAGTGAGTACTACAGGCCGCGAAATGCACCCCAGTTGACTCCAACGCCATGAGAAGAATGTGGTCCGTTCAGGTATAGATTAAACCGTTTGAGATTTGAATGGAGGCAACTTTTGTACCACCAGGCTCCTTTGTAAGTTTGTGCACAGCTGGCAGTCGATTGGTCGTCATTGTCGTTATCATTCGTAGAAAACTGCATGCTACTAAAGGAAAATTACAGATTCACAACGTAAAAGTTGTTACATGTTTAATTAACAACACCAGCCAGTTCATAAAAGCCAGTTCATGAGTCTGACATGCTGATTGCAGGCAAAAAAGTAACAAGAACAACAACTGCAAGGTGGGCTGAATCTAAAAAAGGTAGACAAAGGTGTTGTTTATTATTAGTAAAAACACAAACGATAATAACAATAATGCATAATCGTTATACTTCAAGTCAATAAACCCTTACTTCAACGCTAAAACTAGTTTCCACAGACATTTCTAACCCACCATATGTTAGAGGTCAAGTCGTCAAAAGAATCACATGTTGTCTGTCTGACTTTGTTGCCCTCTTCAGCCAGTCAACCGCAATGTCAATCCTTACGTTACTGAGGTACTTCGGTGCCAGTCCTGCACGCAAGCTGCCTTTTTATGTTATGCCAGCCAATCACCAGTCGTGTTCCAATACTACTGGTTTAAAAAGGCAATACGTACAATACCTAATGGCTTTCTTACCTTTGGTATGTTATTCAGTCACCAGCCGTGCCACTGTATCCTCCAATCAAAAGTCGGTTTTTATCTGCCTCGTCTGCCACCTTAAAAGTCGTGTACTCTGCGTATCTGATGTCTCCATCCACGTCTTCCAGGTCAACTCGCATGTTGACATCCCCAACGGCTATCAAACGGCGAAGATTGTCTTTTCCGAGCCAGAACTCGCCGTACAGATCTCCAAATCCATTTTTGTAGGATTCCCAACCACGATAGAAGTCAACAAAGCCGTTTAAACGTCTCTGAAAAACTGTCCAACCATGTCCACCATATGTCCATAACATACGTCACACAACACTTGTGTTGGTTTGCCGCCATCTGGGTTGATTTTGTACACGCCACTGGAATTATCACCATTTTTAAGAAGCTCGGTACAGCTTCTGTTAAGTTTTTGTTCTATGGGAAAATAGAGGAGATTATCACTGAGTTGAGCTAAGTGTTTTGTTCCACCTTCGTCGGACGTGGATCAAGATAGATCAGAGAAGAACGAAGAAACTGTGTGTAGTGTCTTCGTCCTAATACACTAAACAACCCGGTTCATAGCCACATGTTTTAATCATTTGACATCTCGAGACCACATTCTCGCTACAATATATCCCATAGTAATAAAACAGTCACAATAAACATACGGGACACCACACTGTGAATGGGATTGTAGCGCTCGGAGCTGGGGAATTTCGCACTATAGCTACCACTGTTGTTTCGGCGGCAGTTCCTAAAACCACATTACTAGAAAAAGCTAATTCCAAAATGTACATTCTCTTGTCTTGAGGAAAGCATTATAATCAACCGCGAATTTTGCAGACAACAGATGGCCTTTAAATATCGCTCTCATCGCTGAACGTTTCGTATTCATAATACCAAATTTTCTGTTTTCAAGTTGCTCTATAGCGCTTTGACGTCAAGCATATTGTTGTACCTAAAGAACATGAAATTTTAACTAACATTAGAACCCATTCCCAAAAGAACAGAAATTTTGTTTTTGGAGAAAACCACCATGGCCACTTCGTGTTTTGTTGTTTTGCCTTAAGGCGACACTTTGATAAACATTTCACACATGTTACTTTGCCTCGCCTTTATCATCACATAGATACTTGGTGTTCTCACCTTCACACTTGAACCCATCTCCTGTAAATCCATTTTTGCACGAGCAGTTGTACGATCCTTCCGTGTTGCTGCACGTGGCGTTCACGTGACAGTCATTAGTTCCTTGTCTGCATTCGTCCACATCTGTGACAAATTTCAGTTTTGATTTTAGTTTTATAGGCCGCAGTACATATTTGTAAAATTACGACACCTTATTTTTATGCTGCAATTCAAGAAACCCCTGCCTTATTCACTTTCAAAATATACAACTCACCATATTTAGGTTTGAATCGGAAAATCTGTACCCTAATCGGCCTGAAGCTACGGTTTCCTAGATAGTATTGCAGATTTTGTTCTAAAAGTATGTACTATTGGTCATCCAAATCTCCTTTGAGATTCATACCTTATCTTACCTAAAAAGGCTAGGCATTCATACAACAATTGCTTTCTTCCATCTTATACCAATGGACCTTTTGTCTATGAAAACGTTCAGTGTTCCAGTATAACGATATATTTTAACGTGTTCAGATACACATTTAACTTACCTGATTGACAGTTGTTACCAGTGAAGCCCGCTGCACATACACACTGATATGTGTCATGTTCCAAGTCTGAATAACAACGGGAATTAACAGGACACTGCATTCAGCGTGTGAGCATGAACTCTTTCGTTGAAAGGAAACAAGAAAAAAGTTACAAATTATTGCTAAATAAATAGTACAAACACAAACGTCTCTACATCTTCCAAGCGATGTTCATGAGAGTCGAACCAACATTGCTCAACCTAACAGCGTTTTCACGCTCGCAAGACTCGCTTACTAACCGTGAAAGTCTTGGCACCGCAGTGTATTTCGTGAAATAACCTTCAGAACTCCGTTTGTAGTCTAAGGACAAAGTCTTAGCCAAATGCGTCATACCTTTGTTCCAACGTAAATAAACCCTAGCTTTGTAGTCCAGTCCAGTGGATTCCTGATAACATCAGAGTCACTCAGCTCACACACGTGACCTCCACCCTCCTTAGGACCAAAGTTGTATGATTGACACGTGATTTCCATAAAGCAGTGTAACTCACACACTTCCGCTGACGTCGCCCTCGGAGTTCTGATCACGTGATTTTTAGGAGCCTTGTTTGCAGCTGGCTTTCCAAATGTCTTGATTATGCATGCCTCTAAAATACAAAATACGAGAGAGCTGTTCTTAAGCCGTGGAAAATATTCTACAACACTGATGCTTCACAACAAAAGAAATACGAAAACCGCACCAGAACAGTGAACAAAGCGAAATCTAGTTTGTCGAGCGTTGCTTAAATGAGGGAGTGGGTTGGTGTAGAAATCGTTCCAGTTGTGAGCGAAAAGTACTCGGATTTTGCATGATTTCAAAGAAATTTAGCCTCTTTCAGGCGTTGTGTATGATCCATTTCGACGTCTTTCATCTAATGTGAGATCACAGAGTCCAGCAATAATACGTGCTAGGCTTAGTTATATATTTTACGACAAGTCCACGAGAGGTTCAGAGTTTTGGGTTTTCTTGCTAGCATTTTAAAACAGCCGTATAATTAACTGTAATAAAAAGGGGGAAACGATAACATCAGAAGACAGAATGCTAGCTCTAGCAAGAAATCCGAGCTCTATGATATCCAGCATCCCTAGCAAGGGAATATCAAAATTGTATTCGGGGATTCCGAATACTGAATTGTTGATGCACTGGTATGAATTAAAGAAATACCAAAACAGAAACCTACCCGATGCAGACACAACTTTCCAAGAAACCATTATAAAACTCACCACCAGAAACAATGCGGAAAACTGGAAGTAATTCATGGTACTTGACATGTGAGAACATAAAACTAGACACAAATGCTCGATTCTTTTGGTTTCGTCAAGTATGCCAGTGAAGCTAAAGCCGAAAACATATCAAAATTCATTAAGAATTTATACCACAAAGAAAAACAAAATCCACTTTGTGATATGATTCAATGGCGATGCACTCTTGTGAATTTAAATTACAGTGTTGACTTTACTGAAAATAACCAAAGTTACTGTAGATATTAAGAAACAAATAGGACCAGCTGATGCGCTTCAAACGTCTGTTCGTTTGTGTTCAACGATTTTTGCAGGACCTTTCCTACTTAATACGAAGGAATATAGAAAATGAAGATCTCAGCGACGACTATTGGAATCCAGAACAAAACTTGGTGTAGCCATACATTTTTAGAGATAATTAGCCTCGACTCTTGAACAACGAAAACAAAAAGAACGAACAAACATATCCGCTTTACATGTTTCCGTAGAATTCGTCTTTAAAAACACAAAAAACAAAAGGAAAACTAGTTAGAAAGATCTTTAAAGTACATAGCAATTGGTAACATAAAACGTTCATTTGGTTTGTTTTTAACGCTCTCTTCTCGTTTGCACACACTTAACAATTAAGAGGGGGTTTAATAGGTTTTCGGATCGACGGACTTGGCCTTAAAAAGCGCGCGGATTGAGGATTTTTGCAGTAAATCGAGCGGATTCGCGGATTTTGAAAACAAAGTGGATCGTGGATCAGCTGTGAATTTTGGCACGGATTCCGGATTGTGCCTGTCTTGATGTTCGGATCTTGGGTCCTAAATGAAATTTGGATCATAGATCTTTCTTCAGCCTTGGTCGTTATGTTAATGAGTTCATCCAAATTATTTCTTTTTTTCGAACAAAGCTCATTTAAACTCAGGCATGAGACTGTTATTAGAATTGTACTTTGTTACAGTCATCAAGCGTGTTGCCTTTTTCACTAATTGGGCGAAATTAACAGTAGCATTCACATTTACCAGTTTACCTTGGAACTTTTACCCTTCTGCTTCCGGATGTGGTTGTGGTGTCGGATTTGAACAAAAATATTGGCGGATTAACGGATTTGGCAAAAAAAAAAAGGCGCGGATCGGCGGATTTGCATACACCTATTCACTCCCCTCAATTAGGCTATCTGTCATCTGTCGATTCATCAATCCATAGAAGATCGATCAAACAAAAGGCTGACGATATTGATATTACTGACCTCACGCAATTTCATAATGCTCATTGATATCCGTCACTAAGACTATCCCGCTAGCCAATCGCTACACTCTAATGGCTGCATAATGAACCAATCAGATTGCAGATTATACAAGCAGAATTCCGAGCATAAATATGTATATTATAATAACGTATAATTTTATGAATTAATATATTATTGTCTATAAAAGGCTAAAAGTTACTAAAATTTTAAAAGCCAAAACGTTTTCGACTGTGCGTCATCATCCCACTAGTGGTACATTACATTATTAGTATGTGCTAATGTTGACTTTAATTCCGGGAAGGAGATTTATCAAAGCGAACGAAACTCTCCCTAGGTAGATGTCACAGTTAAGAAAGTTCCCACATAGCTATGATACAATGATCATATTCACAAAGATAACCTGTAATAAGTGAACGACTGGAGTAACTGCAATTCAACATTTTCTTTGCTCTTGAACAGTACTAGTAATTGGATCCGATATAGGCATGCGCTCGCCTTCGTTTTATCTATGAAAATGCCATGGTCGCCAGCCACTGTTGCAGAATTCTCCCCGGTGTTAAGGAAATCTATACGTTCCGCTGGTTCAGCAATCAATCGGACTGTATCGTTCCATTTTCTTACGTTTATTTACGATCTACACATTCTACATTCAATCGATCTCGATCTCTATTATGTCAGTTTCAGGATAGTGATTGTATTTTTTGGCTATTGCAACGGAAATGCACGCCTATATGGAGTTCCATCCCCGCCAAAAATCAAATTTGATCACAACATTCAACTTGACAGTCTAACAATTAACTTGGCAAACATCAACATCATATTTCACTCTTCGACTTTGTACTGTGTATCACAATCATTGAAACTTTAAACATCAACTTTCAAAGTGACAGTTCAACGTTCAACTTTATACATCAACATTCATGTTAACATGTCAACAATGATCTTGACACATAGGCTGTCAGCGAAAGATGAAGTTTGAATCTCCAAGTCGAATGTTGAGTCACCAAAGGCGCACCAATCCTGCCAAAATTCAACTTGAGAATTCGACTTTCAAGTTGATAATTCAACATGAAATGTCACGTGTCAATATCCGTG